TGGGGTAATGACATAACGGGGAGTGGAGGGAGAGGGGAATAAGTCGGGCGATCAGATGTATGCGTGTGTGAGTTTGGAGTGATAACACCGATGCGCGGTCAGTGACTTCTACAATCAGGGTTGTTACAGTTAATTAATTTTTTTAATTTTTGTCGTCAAAAAATGCTTAGATTCGTATTTTAAAATTATGCCATTTCATTCAAAGTCTGATATATATACACGGCTTTAAATGTTACAACATCTTTCTGTAACACCCTGTATATCTATATATATACAAGAATTGCTCGTTTAAAGGATAAGATTAATATGTATGTATTGGTTATGACGCCTCGATTCGATAAACTGAGATAAAGATAATAGAAATGTTCAGTTCTTCACACGTTTAATGTATACATTCGCACGGTGCAGTGCAAGCGGTTTTCAACCTTAGGTTGTCATATTAATTCCGATGGAAAATTTAATTCAAGCGAAACTGAACATCAGCACGCCCGACCTATTTGTCAACCTTCTTTACTTTTGCTGTCGTAAAATCATACACTCGCATTCTGCGCTACTACAGTCCTGACCCCATCTTTCAGGGATGCAATCGAAAACGTTCCCTTTTATAATACCTGCAAGAGATAAATTCGATTGTTATTCCAGTGCTCGGTTACTATAAACGCGAAGTACTCGAAGGCCACAGAGTAGGATTTAAGCTTTTCTTCTAAAGTAATAAAGGTGCGTTTTATTTGTGCGTTACATTTGGGATTTAGACGGCGAAACACGTAGGTGTGCCATCGCTCATGTGACAAATTTCTACATTTGCCTTAACGCGGGGCACCGTGTTTAGAATATTACGACTGGAATGGGTAAATTGTGGGATCCTACTGATTTACGCATGGGCGGATTGAAATCATTGAAATTATTTGGAGGACTAGACGAAACTAAACACGGAAGATGGTGTAACAGCAATAAATTAACCTGACACATTAATAGGCACATAAGTATGAGTAGAATCTATCATTGCAGTAATTGTATTGGAATCAAAGATCTAAAGCGAAAGAAAATGTTCAAATTAAATACTTCTCCCAGGATATTTACAACGCCATTTAGGACTAACTAACAAATGGTGATGACACGTAAGGTCCTCCAAAGTACGACTGAGGCGGATTTCGCAGACCTTTAAATTTATAACACAGACAACCGTTTATCGGTAAAAATGTTTCTCCGTCGTGTGATGACTTGTGACGGGTCGTTTCCCGGGAGACAGTGGATTTAGCGGTTCGTTTATGCGACTTTGTGCGATTCAAATTGTAGCCCCTCTCTTGTAGGTAACGAAGATCCGACAATACGTGCGTGGAGGGACCCGCGTCTATTTGTCGAATGTCTTCGCGGATTTCTTTTCGGTGGCCGCCCCTCGCTGCTGTAGACGTGATTTCGCTACGAGAGCGACTTGCCAATTGTATATTTATGAGTTCACTATTTTGTCGAATTGTATTCCAACTCGTAATTCGATTTCGCCGTAAGCAAATCTCTCTCCAGTCTATTGTAATATAGAACTGAGGGATTAGAGATTTTTACACGTCAGCTTCTTTGGATATATTTGCCGCTTTCTCGTAGACACCGGGTATTTTAAATGTCATTATTTTAGCTTGTAAATTGCGTTTTCGCATTTGAGATCTGTACACCATATCGGATATTGTGATCTGCTAAAATTCATCAAGTTTTGGAGCTAAGGAGGCTTTGCAAGAAATCAGCATTAACAGGTGCATCTGATATGCTGATGGATTGTGAAAGGAACCGAATTAAAAGGGAATTGCTGTTTTTATTATATTTAATATTTTGGCGAATCCCAAAAGTGAAAGAATAAAAAGAATTTGCGGCCATTTTCAAGTCAACAAACTGTTATTCCCGTTTTAAGGATCCGTATATTGTAAGTTGTTGTGACCTGTATAAGTTACGGTTGGCGTATCTTTGTAAATGAAAACACCACAAAAATAAAAATAATAAAAAAAGTTGCATCTGAGTTTCGCGTTTGAATGTAAGGGACGAGAGGGTGATTTTATATTCATACACATCGCACACAGAGTAGTTCGAAGCGAAACTGCGACGAAGCATCGCTCCTAATCAACAAGCGCTTCACGATAAGCACGCACGCCAAAGCAGCGGATCGCCGGAGCGAAACAAAAGTTTAAAAGAATCCCGAGGAGAAATTTCCGAGGCGCGAGCGACGTAACGGCCCGCATAGCTGCAATGCGGTGCACTGCGCTCCTATCATTGCGAGAGGAGGCCTGCATTCTGCACGGACACAGTCTGTTACTATTATCATCGGACGGCCTAAAGCCCCCCGCGCCATATCGTTTCACACAGTCGACTTTATGTACTGTAATAACATTGTGGCGGCCCTCAATGACGTGCTTGCGCGTTGGAGGAATTATTCTCTTTGTGCGCCTGTTTGATGGTTTGAATGAGCTATGGACTATTTTTTCTCCGAAATTCGTATTGGCAGTACAAAGGTTACGGTTTCGAGTGTTTCCGTAACTGTCAGACATGCGTTTAACACGAGGTGGTCACTCTGTAATCCGCCTATCAAATCGATACTTAAATACGATTGGAACAAATCAAGCAATGGTTTCAAGTTTTCGCGAAACTTCAACTAAAAAATCGAAGAGAGTTTACTCGTTACTTAATGAGCCAATCATGAACTGAATATTAAAATAGTTCGCATAACTTGTACCAGACCCGATATACGTTTTGATATGCAAAGCATATCATACGTAGTCGCCACAGCGAACATGAAACAATGTGATATTCATTAAAATTGACCGGTCAACAATTATCGTTGCGGACATCCTGCGCCCCACCCAGCTATCCTCTTATCGCCGCTAGAGGAAACAGTCGCTGTTTTTATTTATGTAAGTCCCCTCGCCCACGCGTGATGGTGTATCGGATTCTAGAATATCCACATGTTCAGGTTTATTCCGCACATACGCTTTATTCAGCGCGCCGATGTCGCGTCCGACATTTTCGGTTGACGACGCAATTTCACCAGTGTGTGTGTTCTGTGTGGGAAATTTAATCACTGCGTTTGAACTTCATTTTCGCCTGTGGATTGTTACACTTGGTACACACTGTTTGGATTTCTCGCCGATAGAGCATTAAGTCTTCGGTAAATATGTATACTTTTTTTTAACAATGTGGTACTAGATGGAGGTCTGCGTTTAGGGTATATTTTACTCCATTTAAAGCTATATCGTTCCTAAGCAACGCGATTGTATTTTGATAAAATAAAAAGGTAATCATCAGGACGATTTTTAAGTAGCATCTCATCGTAAGCTACATTATGTTTTACATAAGTAGCATTATTCGTTACGAGTTAATTTACCACCATAAATGTTTCTAACGTTATGAAGAGTTATAAGCTATAGACGGCAATATCTGAGAAAAAAACTGAACAAGTGCAAGTCGGACTTGCGCACCGTACCATTATCTATAAATAGGGTAAAAAATCATGTTGTATGGGAGCCCCACTTAAATATATTTTACTCTGTTTTTAGTATTTGTTGTTATGCGGCAACAGAAACAGGTACATCATCTGGGACAATTTCAACTGTGTAAATATCACGGTTCATGAGATACAGCCTGGTGACAGATGAACAGTCAGCGGAGTTTTAGTAATAAGGTCCCCTAAACCCCCTAAGGAGCCCTAAAAAAAGACAAAAACAAAACAGAATTTAAAAGAGATGTAATTTTCAGAGATGTAAAAGATTTAAATAAAGCTATTCTAGTTTTAACAGTTCCTCCAAGCTATTGAGAAACTCGTTATCAAATGAATTGGAATGTTTCATGACGCGGAGGGAAAAAGACTCGTAAATTCTTTATTCGCGTTCTTGTCTAATCGTGTGGGATCATTAGGGGAAGAGTATCAGAAAGGAATAAACCGGCATTGGCGGAGCACCCTTGAGACGGCGAGCGGAAAGTTTTTAATTCAAAGCCAACATCCCGAGAGGCCCAACTCAAAGGACCTGTAAGAAAATAAAATTAGTTTCGACTGTACCTCATTACTAGAGTTCGTAATTGAGAATGCAGATTGCACGTGAAAGTACTTTTTTTTTCTATAAAAGCAATGCTAAGACCTCTATTACCGCTACTTCGCGACGCTGTTGAATGGTGCGATTTCGAAAAAGAACGAGCTTCTAAAGGGAATGCTTAAAAAATCTTTACGAGTTAAATTTGAATCAAAGGGAAATAAGTCTGCTTGCGAAATCTGTGCAGATTTATTCATATACTAATTCAGGTATTGCTTAATTTACAACTAACTTTGTCAGATTTCATTAAAAAATAAACTAAACGCCATTAGTAGTAAAACTGCCTCTGCTTATTTGATAAGACGGATATTATACCAAGTATGTTCCGAGACCAGTATGAGCCGTGATAGCTCAGTGTCCGGGCGCTCGCCTTTAATTCAATATACTCGAGCAACCTGAGTTCGATCCCCGGTGCCGGCACCAATGAAGTTTTTAACTTTAAGTGCTGACTTATCACGTGCTCCGCGGTGAAGGAAAACATCGTGAGGAAACCTGCATATTTTCGAAATAATAACAAAAAATATTTCGAAGATATGTGAAGTCCGCCAATCCGCAGTGGGGCCGCGTGGTGGACTATGCCCTGATACCGTCTGTATAGAGGAGGCCTTTGCCCAGCAGTGGGACATGTATAGGCTGTTACTTTGCTATGTTCCGAGACCAAATATATTGGTAAATTATGAAAACATCGAGAAATCAAAAACAAATTTAACAAGATAAACTGATTTTGTTTATGTGTAGTATTTGTGTATTATCGCAGCGAAGGATAAAACAACAAGTACAAAGGTAGATACACAAAACAAAACACTGACAGAATACCGTCTCGGTAACAAATCTAAGATACATCTAATCAAATAGCCACAAAACTTATTCAATGCGATAATTAGGAACGCAGTCGCAGAAACCCTTCACAAAGGAGGCCAAACAAAAAGGACAATGAGCTCGTTAGTGGAGAATTTTTGCCAACCCTCCCCTCAACTGGAAGGTTCCTGTTGGAGACGCCCGGATAAAGAATGCTAATTGTAAATGGATTGCATAAACTCGACTTGAAGTTAGATACTTTTTTTACAACTCTCCACGCCACAAGCGGGCGCAACCATTCCCTTTTTCTCTAATCTAGTAAATAGTGTTTCGCGGGCGCAACCATGGAAATGAGTCTATTTAAATTCTTTACCACATTCGAGTACTTTCTCTCTAATCTAGTAAATAGTGTTTCGTTTGAAGTCCCACTATGAACGTTTCACCCGAAAGCTGCTTTAAGTTTAAATATGATGTAATGTTAAAAATAAAATTTCTAAAGTTCCACTCCAAAAGTTGAATCGTGGAAATGAGTCTATTTAAATTCTTTACCACATTCGAGTACTTTCTATTTACATAAAAAAAACCCTCTTACTGGCACAGTTCAAGGAATTGAGGTCGCGGATGGCTTTGCTTATGAAATTCGCTAAAACGTCTTTCATTAAATACCGAGCTTTTTGATACGGGGCTAAGCCCCGAGTATTTATTTGCTTTTCGGGAGAAATGCGCAGTATTACTTAATAAAGGTCCTCTTGTAGATCAAAGCCTCGTGCGGTGATTACAGGTGAAACGGGCGGTCGGCCACGCGGCCCGAACATTTTCGACTCGGCTCCCGGCGGGAGAAAATGTGTGTTTTTGTCTCATCGCGGTTTCTTTAGTCTTTACTAGAAGAGTGCAAAAGTCAAATTCACCGCAATAACAGGACGAATGTAAATAAACGGAATTTAAGCAATGTTTAAGCTTCCACGGCACGGGCTACGCGAGAATCTTGATGTTGTGAAAAATTGTATTTTAATTCTAGGTGCACACGAGCAAACGAAAATATCGATATTAAAAGTTGCACATGCAATATTGACCTAAAAATCGTTATACACTCTTTAAATAAGTACTGTTTACCATATTTTATCGAGGATCGATTGATTATATAAAGCTAAACAATGATTCATTTTCAATTCTTTCAAAAATTTTATTTGGAGAATATTGACAAGTAACTTCTATTCACTGTTTCCCTTAGAAATCAGAACGGTAGATTTCTTTGTACTCTTTATCATACTCGGAAGCCTTATTATTTCTAATTACTTCCAAGCTTCATATTTGTGTTTCTTTCTATGGCTTCCACCATTCTGTTATTTGTTTTCGATCGGGTCTCCCTCGGTGTCGTCTTCGTGAAAAAAATAATGTGTTTAGCACGTTTTGTGTTTTTGTTGTGTTTAAATGTTTGTTTTTGAATAGAAGGATAACTAAAGAAGGCTGGCTGTTAAAGACTCTTATTTTTTTTTTAAATATGATACATAATCATACCATTTGGGGTCGTAATAAACAAAGTAATAATTTTAAATATACAACAACTATAGACGGTTTAGTCGGATCCAATCATTTGAGTCCATTAATTAAATTTTACAGCATACTTTTAATGCGTTAATAATATTGGATGTTATTTTTTATATAAGGAAATGGCAAGCGAGCTGGAGGGTTTACCTGTTAAGTGATAACCGCCGCCCATAGACATTAACGTCACCCTAATGTTCCAAATGCGTTGCCACTTTATACTGGGTCCCGGTTACCTCACTCACCTGACGAAACGCTGAAGCATAACTCTTCCTCTTCACGCCCGTCTCCCGTGAGCTCGTGGTACTTCCCCGGATGGACCTGGCCACCAACGGCGATGTCTGTCGCGTGGTCCTACCCCAGTATATATTTGTTAAAACTGAAGAGGTAACGAATTAAACAGCGATACATAAAGTAGCAGGCTATGCATGTCCCACTGCTGAGCAAAGGTCTTCTCTATACAGAGGGTATCAGGGCATCAGACCACCACACGGCCCCACCTCGGATTGGCGGACTTCACATATCCTCGAATACCTACTTGCTGACTTATACAGCACTTAAATTTAACTTCATTGGTGCCGGCACCGGGAATCGAACTCATGTTGCTCGAGTATATTGAAATAAAGGCGAGCGCCCGGACACTGAGCTATCACGGCTCTGATTCAACCGATTACTTTAATTCTTTTAACTGTGTGCAGTTACTGGGTATAATCTCTTCTATCTGATACTAAGGTTCCTTGAAGCAGCCGCAGCTCGCATTACACTTGAGTGCATTTCCGTCTCGTTAGCTTGTTGACATAAGATATTGGTATATTTTATGCCTTCTTAATTTCACTGTTAGGGTTCGATAGTATGAAACAAAAACAAATGCCTGATTTTGCTTTCTGTTTTATATCTCTCAGATATCCATGTGCTAAAATATTCTATGAAAGTGATTTTTTCAATTTATTGATTGAGATAATTAAAGAAAAGTACTGGTTACAACGACTGATTTGTATTAGTTACGGTAGGTGATGATGATTGATAAAAACATGTTATAGTTAAACATTGGTTTAGTAGAAATATGTATGAACTACAGGATTCCCTTCGAATTTAAATAAAAAAAACACTGACATCTCACTTTTTCGTAACTGACCAGTAATATATCCAGTATAATTGTAATATACACGATACCGTCGGTCAATAATAATATAAAGTGCAATGTGTAATCGCTCGGAGTATGGTATACATCAACTTAAATATCAATTGGACCATGTACGAGATCCTTAAAAGAAACTGACTGTTTGAACATTTTATTTCATAGACATATTGCTTACGTCCAAAGGAGCTTAGCTCGGATTTTTACCTACCGAAAGCTTCTAAGGTATACCACATCAAAAACCACAAATCCTTCACTGTCTGTACACAAAAGTAATCTTATACGAATCTTGAAACCTTAGTACATTCCATGGGTATCTATAAAAAATGCACTAATTTTAATATTATGTGAGTAATAATAATAATCTGTGTTAATTGGTCAAGCACTAAAGTGATAGCATAACGATAGAGTCCAAGATCTGATTGTACGTTTAGTCCTTTTGCGCCGTAATTGGGTACTATCTGTGTTAACTGATCGAGCACTAAAGTGATAGCATAACGGTAGATTCCGAAATCAGATCGTACGTTTAGTCCTTTTGCGACGTAATTGGGTTCTCTCTGTGTTAATTGATCGAGCACTAAAGTGATAGCATCACAGTAGATTTCAAGATCTGATTGTTCTTTTAGTCCTTTTGCGATGGCATAGGTACTCTCTTTGTTAACAGATCAAGAACTAAAGTGATAGTGTGGCGGTAGTAAGTTTGCGGTAATGCATAATTATAAAGTTTAAGTAATATTAAATTAGTTTATTTAAAGTCCACAAAATGTTGTTAATGTTACAATCAATGTTATATGTAAATGTTAGGTTAAGAAATGTTTATTGCCTTTAATGTTAGGTGCACCCAGCCGACTGTCATTATATTACGAATTTGTTGACACCGTATATACACATATACAAGTACATATGGAGTTCTGTTACTTAGCCCGAACAGATAGCGTAACGGTAGATTTCAAGATCTGTGTTCTCGATCGCAGGCCTGGGCCGACTGCACCCGTACGGCTCGGGCAGCGGCTCGAGCGACGGCAGCGGGCGGCGGAGGACGCGCCCCCGCGGCCCCCCCTCGCCAACCGCCCCCACCACCCCCACGTCTGCGTCGGACAACGCCTCCGACGCGACCCTCACGGACTCGGAGCTGCCGCTGGCGCGGGACTCGACGCTGCTCGTGCAAAACGGTGCGTACCGCAGCTCAAGTCTTCGCGTGCTAATCTACGCATCTGGCATCTGACCCTGCCTCGCTTCTACGTTTGACTGTCAGGAAATTAGATCGGCAATAAGTCTCCCTTTGCAAGTTTGTGCATGGAGATGAAATAAGTAAAGATAAACTAGTAACCTGACGATAATTGCCGCCTTCTGTGGAATCGCGTCATCGTTTGATATTTCTTTGCATAATATCGCACAAGTTGTTTAGGTTTTGCAAATATATTTTAATGCCATTAGAACGTTAAAACGGACACACGTGAAAAAAAATCCCGTTTAAATTTGTTATTTTATTATCGATGTTACCTAAATAATAGTTGTTTAAAGAATGGATCATTCATTATAAGCGGACAAAATAATGATACACCATCAACTGAAGAATATACAACGGCTTCTTAGCTAACTTTCCAGGCTTCGTCACATCTTGTATGTTTTAGTCTTGACTATCCTCGTTCCTGTCCCTTTGTAAAATATAAAAGAATTTCGTGAAACGCAACGTAACAGTTTCGTTTCCAGTATCGCATGTCAAACGCTATTTGCGTTCTTTCATCGGAATTGGTCTTTATTTCGCTATTGTTTTCATCAAAGACGTATTTCGGAACGTTCTAACATTGCTATTTCGATATTTCCCCCCTCCTCTGTAACGTTGTTAATGTTGGCGGTCGATTCAAGATTTTCTCCCAGATCAAGATCTATTGCGAGAAGATCTTGATAATTTTATTAGTATTTATTCAGTTAAATATTAATAAAATGACTTCACCGTAGTAAAATTAAAATCTAAAACTATAATTGGACAGTCATTGAAATCAGCAGGCATTTTCAATTGATATTTTCAATTGTGAACATATAAATTTTTGGGGGGAAAAAATTACATATACTATAACAAATGAAAAATAGTCTCGCTTATGCCATAACGGGGAGACTAACTTTTTCCAGTGACGTTAACGTAAATAATAATTCGTAGAATTGAGACGGCGCAGGCCTTGCCGAGATTACGTAATGGATTTTTATCGCGTCGTGCCTTCGCCGTTGCCGTTGAAATTGAACGGGAAATCCAGGGAGCCCCGCCTTTAATTTTCCCTACGTCGGAATCCATAATCGTTCGAGATTTCATTGAATGCAATTAAACTGGTATGCTCGGCGCCGTACGCCGCTCGAATGGATAATTGGCGATGCGTTTGTCTTCAGATATTCAATCAATGCGCGACCTAGTCGGGCGGTGTCTCTCAGGGTGTGTATTTAAAAACATTATAAATACATCCGATTACAAGTCCAAAGAAACGGATTGAGTTCACTATATACTGTTTACATGAAAATCATTTCTATGAAAACCTCCGTAGACATTGATCGTATAGATCGTATTGATTTTAACGTCTCTTCGTTACATATAATGGATTAACATTTGATTAAATGTTGTGTTCAACTTCCTTTACCCGAATGAAATAGACAAGCGCCAATAACAATTTGCCTCGTGGGCCACAGATTAAACAAATCGTAACTTGTTGGACGGATGCCCCGCAACGGACATTACCGATCCGGCCGTGTTTTGCCTGCCCCCGTCGGTCCTTAAACTTTGGCGCCGAATTTCGGCTCCTGTTTGTGTATATTTAGTTTTCGGGTCCACAATTTAAACTATCGCCGCTTTTATTTGTCGTTTAGCGTCACGTACCTCCGTGGCATGTTCGGCCGCGACCTTTTGTTTGCGGAATTTATTCGGCCGATGTTTTGGTTCCAGCGAATATTTTGGGACAACTTGTCGGGGCCGTAATGAAAGTGGCGTTTAATCTTTAATTTTGGGCGGTCCGGCATTAGTATACTTCAGTTTATGTGGCACCTTCATTAAAGTAAGTGCTTTAGGTATTAGACCCTTGTTTCTCGTGTAGTTTATATGTTTATTTGTGCCCCCGTTTAGGAATACATTCATTGTTAGTTCCATTCAATTTAATTAAGTTTGTTTCTAGTTGAATCACGTTGTCAATTGCCTCCTATGTTAGTTTCTCGTTATCGTACTAGTTAGCTATGGCAACTACATTTTACCTAACAGATTAGCAGCAGTTACAAGAATGATCCAGTTTGACTGGGTAAGTACGATCTGTGCACACCCGTGTTGAAACCAGCCTTTTCTTCGTGGGGCGCAAAGGCCTGCATCTTTCACCTTATTATTTGTTCTATGACATCCTGGGTGGCAGTTGACTCCCGTCTTTTCGCAGCTCCTTAGAAAACATAGAAAAAAAATTGCCACATATTTCAAATTTACGTTGTCAGTCCAGAATGACCAACAATTCTCACAACTGAAAAACGTAAGCGTAAAAACTGAAAAGCGTCCTATGATATTTTATTTCTTTTTCTGCCTGAAGGCTCGACACAGTACCTTGCAGATACAATTAGTTTCTTATGTTTAATCAGCCTACGAGCAGCACAGTGATAAATTGTATCCGGAGGCAAATTGAGAAACATAAAAAAGTGAATAACAACACGGGACTTTTCCTTCCAGGGAAACTACTTAATTTCGTCGGACTTTCTCAGCGCCTAATTGATATTGAGACCATTACCATAAATTGGAATGACCCCGAATATTTCACGCCCTAATGGCGGCCACTCTCGTGGGGCTTCTAATTTTATAAACAAAACGTATCGCGGATCGACCGGATTCCCGCCGTAAACGGGCGGCGCGTCGTAAAACGGAGCGCGCCCGGCGAATGTGTCGAACAATTTGATATGCGTTAGGAGGGACGTTTTTATGCCGCGATATTTCGGTAGGCATACAAGTGTCGCCTTTAATTGCCGCCATTAAACGCATGTTTGTGACGCGCCGTCGAACGATAGATGGATTCGAATGCGTTCCTTTTTACCGAATAAACCCATCTGCCGCCGTCCTTGTCTACTGGGCGGCGAAGAACGAGAGATCCGATACGGGAATGTAGACCGACAGTGCACGCCGGAAATTCGTTAAGGACTAAAGCGACGCTTCGTTAATTTTTTATGTTCGCTCGTCTAATGAATGAATGTCTCTTTAAATTTCCATATGTTCGTTGTTTCGTGGCCACTTTGACGAGGGATCAGTTATATGAGCTTCGCTTCGTATTTTTTTGTAAGGAATTTTCGAAGTGTCCTGGAAATAGCTGCGAAGTAGTTCGCGAAGAACACACAATATTGTTTGAAGAACACACGCAACAGATGGAAGACGCTTTATTTGAGACAACAGTATCCTAAAGTTGTTACAGACTAATTTAACTATAGCTTACTTAGATTACGTATTCGCTATATTATTAATAGTGCTATATATTCCTCCAGTCATATCTTCCGTCTTGTTCGGATAATTAGCGAGACAACGGCACTCCACTGCCGTCGTTCGCACGCCGAAAACGCGGCATTAACGCTCGCGCATCCATTCATCAGCACCGCCGTAAAATTTCGCCCGTCCAAAGCGCCCCTCTAATCCGCAAGACGAATATCTCAAAGTTGGCGGACGTAGCGGAATAATCGGGGCTGTGACGACGAGTAGAAAAAAAGTATAATTCGTCACTTGATCCGAGACGCCGCCTCGTGGGCTCGGGCGTAACAAATATCCAGCATTAGCCGTGACTGATGCAACAGCTCGCCGAAGTAGCGACGATTGTACTCGGCGCGGTGGAACTTTTGTGTTTATGATAAGTGCGCCCGGAAAGTTCCGCGTCGTGTTCGTTATATGTACATATGTGTACTCTCTTTGAAATCGTTACGATGATTTTATGTGAAGTAGAACGTAAAGTGAAGAAACAGCCGCCTCTGTGCAGAGAGCATTAGAACATATGCCAAGACACTACATCGCTGCGGATTGGCGGATTTCATTTTTTTTTTGGTATTATTTCGAATTAACTTAAAATTAATAATTACATTGGTACTGATACCAGGATTTGAACTCGGGTTGGATTCGATTACCATACTATTTGAGTATTTTTGTCTACGGATAATATTTCCGTATCTGGGTTGTTTATCTCCGTTTGTTCCCATAAAGGGTTGACTTCAGGCAGGCGGTCTGTTGTAAAAAACTAAGGTTTTTAACCTTATACAATTAACAACACGATTCACGTGTTACGAGGCATATGCTAACTAATATTATAAATGTGAAAGTGTGTTTGTTTGTCCTTCTTTCATGTCGCGGAGCAATGTTACGGTATGATTTTTGTGTGAGGAGAGTTTGGAAGCTGGAGAGTGACATAGGCTATTTTTAACGAGGTAAAACATCTCATTCCCATGGGAAGGACCATAATAATTCGTACTTGAATCTACATAGTAAAAGCAACGATGTGTTGGTCCTTCTTTGACTTCGTAAAGAATCTATGAATTGATATAAATTTATCCATGTCCGTACTAATACTACAAATGCAAAATGCACTAGTAATGTCAAATGTATGATAAACAGCTCATTGCTAATTCCCTTTGACCAGGCGGACGAAGCCGCGGTGAACAGCTGGTACAGAATAACAGACCCCTGTGTGGTCCGCTGAAATCTCCGAAAATCGTATTCATCCAACTCGTTTGCCTCGTGTTTCGTCGCTGGGAAACTCGCTTATTTTCGCCGAAACCCTTGCGCGGCAGACACGAGCGCAAATCTCCGAACCCGCTTATTTTGCTTGAAAGCACAAAGCGGCCGCATCGGCCGCGTCCGATGGACTCGAAAACTCACGGTCCCTTTGAGGGGCCAATCCTTTAATACTAATTGAATCATAATTCCGAATGCGGCGATTCTCCTCTCGCGCAAATCTCTCGGTCCGAGAAGGGAACGGTACCGCGTATAATCCTGAATTTCCAAAGTCTGCTGACGATGGCGTCTTGTGTAGTCGGAATTTAAATTTACTTACGTTTTCACTTATTCGTGCGCGCGGCGGCTTCCGGAATGAGTTTGATCCGTTGGGGATTTATTTGCTCTTTTTTCAACCCACTTCTTAAATGGGAAGGTCTTAATTCGACTGAATTTTCTTTATCTATTAGTACCGAGAAAGACTGTCTGTCGATCGGCGAATTGAGGTTGTTTAATTAATT